AGGCTAGTTGATTAGAGGTCATTAGCTCTATATATATACATATACTAGTTTTCTCATCTGTACAAATACTTGGCAAGTGTAACATTACTCAATGAAAAAAGAACACCTTTCCCATATTTAGTTGAAGTTATCTATCATCTATGTTTGCTCATTGTACATTCGCTACATTTTAATAACCGATTTGTAGTTCGTTTCTAATCCTGCACAAAATATTTCTGTAAACCACGATATCATGTATATACTCCTGGACTTTCAAATACTGAATTGTAAGGAGATTGATTATGAATACAGTGATCTTGAGTGTTGTTAGAGGTATGACGGCGGTTATCACTGCCTTGTCGCCAATGGCATGCAAGGATTCCTTCAGAAATACCTGAAAATTAAATTGGGTTAGAGGTGATCTTAATGATCTGATAACGTGGCTGCAGTGTGCAACAGACAAATGCTTGAGGCCAGTCACACAATACCTTTTTGTGAGTAGTTTTCATGTTCGCCCCTTATTTGTTGTAACCTTACTGCCGGAGATGGAAATCTGTGGGATAAGGTGAGGTGTGCACTTTTAGGGTCGAGCTTTTTATCCCCACGCCTCCTTGTGGGAAGGCAGCATCGCCGTTATGCTGGTTTTCTGAAAGAAACACCTTAATGTCATCACATCTCTGTACAGTCAGCAGTACGACTTCGGACCTTGAGTTTGCTGTTTTTAGTTTTACCGCTCTTCAACCGACCTGTTTGTCATGGTAGTACCTTGAGTAACGATTGTTTCAGCCGGTTAAGCTCGATTTGTTCATTACGAAAGGCAAGCCCAACCACCACATCAAGGCAGCAGCAACAGTTGGGAACTGAAATAAATGGATTTATTTTATTTCGTTATTATTGGTATTTTTAATACAGCCAAATTGATGGAAAGAAACTAAGCAGTTGTACATTGAATAATTGGTCTGTTAATGATGATTGTCTAACTTGTATTTTCATCTTCCTCATAAATACTTTTTTCAACTTTGTATGACAAATGGAACTATTCAAATTATTGTATTGACTAGGATTCCCGAAACAGTACACTCTAGGTCAAATAGAACTAGGTGAACACAAACGAACGTATTGTATTTAGAATTCGAGATCAAGCTGGCCATCAAGTACAAATGAATCATTAGTTCATACAAACATCACACTTTGACAAAAATTATTCGGGGTTCCAAACATTTAAAAATAATTTCATGGTTCAAGATTTATTTTATTTTAATCAAAACAAAACTTGAAATCAAAAAATAGATTTTAAACCAAGCAAGCATGACAACTGAAAAATACAATCAATTGCATTGTAATTGATTGCTTTCTTCTTCTCAGCTATATTCAAATGAATAAATTTGGATTCTCAGAAAGGGATTTTGTGGAGATTGTATTAATTTAATAGTTGAATTCATGGATCGATTAAGGCTAGACCACATTGGAAAATCTGAAAGCACTAGACAGCCGTTTCATCCTAGTGTAAGACTCTTCATCAGTGCACGTTCACGATCCCGCTCTCGGAATTCAAGCCAAGGATCTTTGATCCTGAATGCCGGCTCAGTGGCTAAGAGGTTAAGCGTTCGCGCACGAGACCGAGGTTCGAATCTCGCAAGGCAGGATCGTGTATGCGCACTGTTGAAGAGTTCCACACTAGAACGAAACGTCCATCTAGTGCTTTTAGGTTTTCCATGATGGTCTAGCTTCAATTGACTCATGATCTCAACTATTGAAATAGTATGCAGTTACATAAACTAAATAACACTTATTGTTATAAGTAAAGAAAGATTTCTATTACACTATTGTAGATATACTGATCTAAATTTCATTAATACTGAACAACAGTTTTTTTCACAACTCGTTATCTCTTAATGATCATATTGGTTCCACTGAAAACTCATAGAGATTACTAGATATAAGTAAACCTCACTCACGTTATAGTGTATCAATAGACTTTATTCAATACTGAAAACATCGCTTCTCATAACTTATCACTTTTATGTCAAAAACAAAAACAGGTTAGAACTAAACGTTTTGGATTAAAATTCAAATGGACTTCGATTCACTACTAAATATTGACAATTGAAATAATAATACATATTAAATATCATTTTACTGATTATAAATTGTAGCTAGACCATCATAGAAAACCTTGAAACACTGTACGGCTGTTTTGTCCCGTTGTGGGACTCTTCAACAGTGCACACCCCTAATCCCACCTTGCGAAATTCAAACTATAAAAATCACTATAATATCCACAAAGCCCCTATTGATTATAAACGATTGAATTAAGCTTGAAAAATTTGTTTTATTTAACTTCGAAACCCAAATATATACATATATGTATGTCCAGTATTTATATAACTCATGTATTACCATTTTATCTGTCTTGTATCTCAGTGTGACTAGATATTCAATGGAATAATATTGTAAATTTAATTGTATGGAATAAGTTTAATTTGATTGAAATCAGGATAAACAAATTTTAGAAAGTTGTTTATCTTAACAATATGATTTGTTCAAATAAATAGGTTTTTAGATCAAATTGTTATGTGACAAAATTTAGAAAAACCAAAACCAAATCACTGACTAGATAAGTGTCCTGTGTTTATTGATTTATCTTAATTATTTTCTCATTATCAGTATAACACCGTTGGATGCCGTCTCAGTGGTTCCAGAGGTTAGGCGATCGCGCGCGAAACTGAAGGCCCTCGGTTCGAGTCCTGTGAGCGGGATCGTGGATGAGCACTGCTGAGGAGTCCTACAGTAGGACGAAACGAACATCCAGTGCTTCCAGGTTTCCAATGGTGGTCTAACATCGATCGGTTCATGGTCTTAATCAATATTTTCTAATTATCAATGAAGCAGCAATAAATGAACGGAACACAATAAAGAAAATGGACCAAACACTAAAGTTATAGAAGGGAAAAAAACTACAACCAGGTCCGTTGTGAGATATCATCTCAATGAAGACAATGGTATATGGTGGCGCAAATTCGTGGATTGGTTGAAGTTAGACATTAAGACCATTGGATGCCGGCTCAGTGGTCTAGTTGGTTAAGCGCCTGGCGCGAGACTGATAGGTCCTGGGTTCGAACCTCGCGGAGTGCGGGGTCGTGGATGGGCACTGCTGAGGAGTCCCATACTAGGACGAGGCGGCCGTCCAGTGCTTCCGGGTTTTCCATGGTGGTCTAGCTTCAATTGACTCATGATTTCAATCTGTGAAACATAGAATAACAAGATATAATTAAATCCATTCTAACCCATAAGAATATGAGATTGAAAATCAAGGACAATCGAATAGCCTTACACGCAGGTAGCTAACTTGTTGTAGTTCGAATTTTCAATTCCAATCAATTTTCATTTGTACGGAAATGTGGAGATTGTTGAATGTTATTGAAATCAAAAACGGATCTAAGTTAGAAAACAGTTAGTTGAAGATAAATTTTAAATACATTTAATGATGGATATTCCTTGATTAATTTCATATTTAAGAAGGTAAATAGTAGTACCATAGTGCTTATAAACATTTTTCTCTTCAAAGGGTTGGATGGTTCCATTACAATGAATATATTTTGAAAAAATATTAAATTTGACATTATATAGCTTAAAACCTTTTCTGTACAAAGCAAATCTGGTTAAGTGTCTCAAACTATGACGTTTAGACGATGATCTATTAATAGTAAATATCAACACTATGATGCGTGTAGACAAGTACGGAATAGGCTAAAATATGAGTCTTGGATTCTATTTCCATCTACCGAAGCGGTTAGAACATGCGTTACGCATTCTCAGCAATCACCTACTTCGATGGGAAGTGTTTTCTGATGCCAGAGTAGATTGGAAGGAAGCTAGGGGAGTTGAAGTAAAGAAAGAAAAAATGAAACGATGAAAAACAGAGGAAACTACTTTTGGGACACCTTTTTTAGCTCAATCCAAAGTCTGTAAATTACTAACATTTAGTTTGTCCTCCCTGTTTTATTTGTTAAATCATAGGTTTCCATTTAATTTATTAGTTACTGTCAAATTACTTTTTACTCTACAATTACTACTACTAAATTCCATTTTCCTACTCTAATGCCCGACTCATTTTGCTTGTATAATGCGGCAACTTAAACGGAGTCACATATGAAACAGGTTCTACTCTGCCTATAATTGATTGATCAACTGGATTTCAATACTAAACTTTACTCGAAATATTATATTTTCGTTATAAGCCAAAATGGAGGCTAGCAATGGAATCCAAGACACGCGTTTCATCCTATTTGGGACTCGTCAGATGGATGTACCTGCACATCAGAGTTGATTTTCACTCTGGGACTCGAATCCGTTACAGTTCGCTTCAAACGCCAACACATTAACCACTTTGCTTATAATGCTTGTAAATTAAGGCAATATCGAGGCAATACGCACAGTATGCACATATGGCAGTAAGAGACTGATCAATTGCAGTCCTAAATATCAATGGTAAGATCCAAGTAAAACAATACCAAATGGATGGTGGAGAACGTTTGTAACACAGGTGGATGATTTTGATGGAGTTTTGTTCTCTGATCTGGATGGTTTGGTCGTGGAGCTTTTATCGTTCTCCTGATTGTTTGACCAATCAAGAAAATTATGCACAAACATAGGAACAAAAATCAAACCAATGGGTGATACAACCAAAACAAAGAAGTAAACAATGACAGGTTTAAATTCAACAAGAACCAATCAACATCGAGGTCTACAGGACAAGCTATGAACCACATGTGAAGAAACTCAAACACTTCGCTTCTACTTGATGTTTGTGCTGATGATGTCGTTCAGAAGAATGATGAAAGTTCCACGACCGGACCATACTGCTTAGAGAATAAAACTTCATCAATACCAAGTGGATCTTTTCTTTATGTTTATCGATTACCTAAACTCAGATTTATGTATACTTATCAATTATTTTTTTCCGTTTAAGTATAGTAATTTTATCAAGAATTATACATTTTCATTTCTTTTTAATTTAGGCTGATGTGAATATAAGTTATGTAATAAGAAATTATCAAAATCCTTATAATTTGGATAGCAGATTAAGAAAATGTGAAGCATTAAATGTTTTTGGTGATCACTGTGATCCATTTTTTCATTTTGCTGCTTATACAACAACTGAAAAGTGAGTTGAATAATTCATTATTAAATAAGACATTGCTAAGAACACACTTAGTTCTTCGAAGATATTTCAAGTTAACAGAATATAAATTTCATTTGAATTCATAAACATCTGTGTATGAAGTGGTATAATACAATTCATGTTCGACTGTAACTAACAAACGATGTGAATTGGGAAAGATATATATGTAGATTAAGAAAGATATAAACACAAAGATTTCTCTGTTTTATATCAAGTTACAAACAATCTGGTTAGCGTTACAGATGTGAAAGCGCGGATCAGTAAAGCAAGAGCAGCATATTTACAACTGAAGAACATCTGGAACTCAAAGCAACTGTCAACCAACACCAAGGTCAGGATTTTCAATACAAATGTCAAGACAGTTCTTCTGTATAGAGCGGAAACCTGGAGAACTGCGAAAGCCATCATTCAGAAAATACAGGTGTTTATTAAAAGTTGTCTACGCAAAATACTTCGGATCCGTTTGTCGGACACTATTAGCAACAACCTACTATGGGAAAGAACAAACCAGATCCCAGCGGAGGAAGAAATCAGGAAGAAGCGTTGGAAGCGGATAGGACACACATTGAGGAAGCCACCCAACTGCGTCACAAGTCAAGCCCTCACATGGAATCCTCAGGGCCAAAGGAGGAGAGGAAGACTAAAGAACACATTACGCCGGGAAATGGAGACAGACGTGAGAAAAATGAACAAGAATTGGACGGAATTAGAAAAGAAGGCGGAGGACAGAGTGGGTTGGAGAATGCTGTTCGGCGGCCTATGCTCCATTAGGAGTAACAGGCGTAAGTAAGTAAGTAAGTAAGTAACAAACAATCTACCTAAAGGAACTAGATTACGGCTACTCTATATAGCTGAAGCTATATATATCAACGTCAGTAAAAACCGGATTTATGTATCCAGAAGAGGTGTATTCAGTCTCTATGTTCATCTTGGTCCACGACCGGATCACCAGATACGTAAACTGAACATTATAAACCCTTATCCTTCTTCCAATTCATTTTGTGTTTGTAACTTTCTTTATCTACACATTCATCTCCGTCAAACTACATGACTTCTTTTTTTATCATAATTATCATGACAACACCTAACTTGTTGCATAGTATATTCACACGTTATTATTGCCATCATTACTATTATTATTATCACTGTGGTTATCATCACTATCATTTTCATTAATACCTCGATTAACAAGATGAAATTCTCCTACTATGCATTTTATTCACATGGTTTTTCATTATATTACTATTATACTGATTATAACTTGACCGTTCACCACGGATTATTCTGTCGTTTATTAAACGACCTTTCTGATTTACAAATAACAATTATAAAGTATTTATGTCGTAATAGATCTAAAAGTACACCATTTTTAACACATAACATTGTCAAACTCATTAATATCAGAATGGGGGTTTGTGGAGATTGCAGTAATTTTAGTGGTTAGATTTATGAATCGATCAAACCAAGATCACCATTGGAAATCTGGAAGTACTGGATGGCCGTTTCGTCCTAATATGGGACTTCTCAGCAGTGCGCATCCATGACCCTGCATGCGAGACTCGGACCCTGGACCTTCGACCCTGCATGCGAACGCTTAACTTCTAGACCAGTGAGTAGACATCCAAGGGCGTTAATGTCTAACTTCAATCGATCCATGATCTTGAGGAAACTATCCATCGTTTGTCATTATATGTGATCCAATGGTTCACATCTTCAACTTTCACCAATAACATGCGTTACACAGTAACTGGATATTAAGTTTTAAACTTAGATAAATAACCTTAATTATCAGTCAATAGAGATCGATTGGTATGTAAAATTTTCATAGTACCCACATAATCGATAATTAATACGTTAAATCAATTTTTGGGTAATACAATGTAAAACTCAATGATTCCGTTGTGTGTTGTTATACATTTAAATATGTTTGTCAGTAAATTGTTCATATGACCAGGTTTAGAGCAGTTAAAAGTGTCAGTTTTTTTCTCACTTGTTTCTGTTCTTAGTTTCATGTGTGATTTTATGTTAAATGTCTGTTAGTTTACTTGCACAATAATACCTTGAAGTGACTGTGAGATGAAGAAAGGAATATTTGATTTGATTTATAGTGCTCTAACATTACACTTAAACTTAATCGTTGTAGATAATAGGTGTTGTTTTTCTCTTATGTTCTCATGATTGCATATTAACATAAACTTATTAGTTGGTAATAAGCGATTACAAAAGTTCACATTAAATTATTACTACTTACAGTGGAGTTCAACTAGCTCTGTTATGAGATAGTAACTCACTGAAGACAGTGGTGGATGTGTCGCTCAATTTCGTGGATCAATTGAAGTTAGACATGTTAGCTCAGTGGTTTATAGAATAAGCGTTCACTCACGAGACCGAACTACCTGGGTTCGAATCTCGCGAGGCGAGATCGTGGTTGCTCACTGATGGGGCGTCCCGTACTGGGACGAAACGGACATCCAGTGATTCCAGGTTTCCTATGATGGTCTAGCTTCATTTGACTCATGATCTCAACTATTAATGTTGCTGCCTAACTAATAAAATTTACAAGCACTACTTAATACATATCATTCAACAAAATAAAAAGCACAGTATTAAGTGTGTGATATTAAACTATCTTACAGAAATGATTTCAACTTTATTTCAATGGTTTGCATACACATGACAACTGTTTTTCTCATATATATTCATTTGATCTACTAGATGGGAAAAACGTTCAACGTTGCGTAAAGAAGCTGGACCATTTGTAAACTCAAAGTATATCGATCACATTCTTGACACGTATGAAATACAGCCAATATTTCCGGTAAGCATTAAAATCAGAATATTTTTAAAGAAGCAAATTGCTTAGGAATATTAAGTTAGTTCTGTAGATGTCATTTTATGTATTGTAAAGTTAATGTTTATCATGAGCTGAAAACTAGAGAATAGTGAACTGATTTTTCGTTTTATTTCAAGGATCTATAACATTATACACTTATTACAACACGTGGGTTTGAACCTACGACCTTCATGGTGGACTTATATCTATTTCTAAGAGTAATCGACAATAGTTATCAATAAATACATAAATCGTAGATAAATTAGTAGCCAAAACTGGAACTAGTGAATGTATGGATGGTTCAATAATTTTATGCTGGTTTTTTCGTATTCTCTGAGATGATGAGGTTAATTATGAATATGCCCTTAATTTCAGTGACCTGAAGATCAATATTACTTATTTTTAATCCGTAGTAGTAATTGGATTGTATTGGTCACGATGCATTGAGGCCACTTGTTCGATTGACTAGACATCACTCTGGGATTCATTTGACGGATTGTTGTTGAAGGTAATTGATAGGAAGTCCTGAACTTGTAATCCATGTTAGTTAGAACTTTCCAAAAAGGTGTATCTGTAATCTTGAAGAAACAAATTATAGAAGTGTGACTGGATCCTGTGATAAGTGGAGTTACTTTCAAAAAATTTGTTCACACCGAAAGTAACTAGCTTTAATTATCAAGAACTTCAGATTATGTGTCCCAAACCAATTACTTCAACTGTGTAACAGCAAAGTTTATTTCTATGCTAAGTCGCTTAGACTCGTAGTGGCACCATAAATCGATATATAAAACTGGATGATTACTAAATAGCAAATACAGTGACATTGATCCAGTCAAATGTATATCTATAAATGTCGAGAAAAACAAGCAAAGTTTCAGGATTGAACCATTTTAGTTTCTAGTAACTGATCAGCCTGAAAGGGGGTTACTGCTATGTAAAATAGATTGGTGACACCATGTTGGTTATAACTGGATGACAAAGCTCTAAACTCCATGTGGTGCATTATTTTACTAAATATTTCAGATACATCTTATTGATGATTACCAATTATATAAGAACCTGTATTCAAGGCATTCTACTAACTACCCTCAATCTCCTTTAAAACTAAAATCTGACTGGAAAAATTTCGAAATCGTGAATTGTTATAGATTCAGAACACAAGTCATTCACCAATGAGTAAAAATATGGAATTATTTTAATATGAACTGAGATGAATGACAGTCAGTTAACAAGTCAGAATGTAAAAAGGTAATCAAAATAAATCTACAATCAATTACAGAGACGTTATCATGAAATATCATTTACAGCTTACATCTACTAGACGAACTGATAGCCACCGTATGAGTATAGGATAAGGATAAGCTTAAGACAAGTACGATAAAATTTCAGCTTGTTCCTAACCAATCAAACAATAACTTTTGCATACGCACAGTTATGAAAAAAACTTTTTTATCAATTGTAGGAAGAAAATGACATTCTATGAAACCGTTTACCTCATTGTGAGTCTTAGCTACACTTCCAAGATTAATAATATTTACAGTTAACATCTCAAAACTACCTACTAAATGAAGATCACTATCAAGGCTAGAACAAACGTCTTTGCATATCGAAAACATCTTGATGACTGTTTTCTTCCTGTTATTTTCATATTTAAACCGGAAACAACAAGAGCTGCAGTTCTGGACACTAAAACGGAGCAAATTTTATTCTTCTTATATTCTGTCGAATAACAAAAACGTGGTCTTTCTCATATGTGAGACGTAAAGACCCCGATTTATGACTCATAAACTATTTAGATACTGTGTCAACGCCTCCCATCAGCCGAACAAATATTTAGGATTCATAGCCGCTAGACGTAGTCTGTCTATTACTTACTTACGCCTGTTACTCCTCGTGAAGGAGCATAGGCCGCTCACCAGCATTCTCCATCCAACCCTGTCCTTGGGTAGTCTGTCTATAACAATAGACAAAGAATTTATTATAAAACAAACCTTCTTGTCGGTTGAGTTGTAGGTCTCTAAAGTCGCCTCTAAATTTCGCGTACACTATTATATGTAAAAGTCATTTGGATTTTGATGATTGTCTTATACTATGAAATAGAAGATATATTTTTACAAGTCTCTAGTTGTTTCAAGAGGTTTGCTCCCATCGAAAATCCTAGACCAACAAATATCTCTCTGAAAATCATATCACCTTCATTACTGGAAATAAACATGGCAGACAACAACACCTACTAAAACTGATAATGCTAAACCAGATCCACTAATTTGTGGGCCCCGTTAGAACCACGCTCTTTGTTGTTGGGAGAAGAATACATGTGAATTATAAGGGGAAGGGGTATTAAAAATAAATTTCACAACCTTAAAAAATTATTCCCGTTCAGAACATTATATTCTATACAACCTACAAAGAAACAATTACCCACTCGTTAAGCTCACTACTGTAATTTTCACATTATGGTAGCAGAAAGCAATTGATCATAGCCATTTTAAACATTCTGCTCACTGTGGAAAGATTATATCCAATGCTTGTTATAAGGGAAAATTAAATTTTGAATAAAAACTTAATAGTTGCATCCATGATTTTGACTCACTGGTTCCCCATTCAATATACTTTTACCATTAACCACTTATGAATAAACCCTAACAGTATTTTAAGCAACGATGGGTAGTGGATAATAGTGGAATCCAGGAAGCACTTCATACAGTTTGGGACCCGTTATTTGTATGTACCTGCATCCCAGAAATGATTTTCATGCCGGGACTCGAGAACTCTGCTTAAAATGATTGTGAATTACTGTCAATATCAAGGTAATTTGCATAGAATATAGATATCGTAAAAGTGAATGATCAACCGCAGTCCTAAATGTCAGTGGGAATATACAAACAATCAATATACTTATGATTCTGTATGTCAGTCAGTCATGTGCAGTGTAGGATCAGGCACATATATGCATCGGTTCAAATTGCCCTACCTTATTAGAAAAACAAAATGAACACCAAATCAATAGAAACGATTACTTTATTAGTATAAGAAATGATTGTATATAAGGAAACCACAAAACAAGAAAGAATTAGTTGGATAGAAAGTAAGACATAAAGTAATTTTAATCTCATAGTTTAAAGGAAGACAAAGAGTGTATACATCGACGCCATTGTGATTGACCCAGAGTTTCTAATCATTAGTTACAATAGTTGTGCGAACCTCAACAAAGTAGTCTGTATCTACCAACATGACTCAGACCAGAAGTTAACGATTTCAACAATTGATGCCATGTTTTTGGTTTGAATCAGTATATATGAATTAGTACTTTTAAAAGTTTATTCTGATAATATTTCGCATTAAAAATTAATTCAAGCTTTACAGCCTATTCATTTGGTATTGTTTGGCTTGTATCTTCCCATTGAGGTTTAAGACTGCAATTGATCAGTCTGTTATTGGCATATGTGCATACTGTGCGTATGCCTCGATATTACCTTAATTCACAAGCTATTTGTAAGCAATGATGAGTCGCAAATAGGACGAAACGCGCGTCCTGGATTCCACTGCTAGCCACTATCCATCATTGCTTTAAAGCCTATTTCTTATTATTTTACATTGTTCAATTGTTCAATTGGTAGTGTGATATGGCTTATTATTAATATTTTTTCCTACAAGGATATACACTTCATTAGATCAAATATCAACCATCAATTTTAAGGGCACAGTTACATGTGATATTGTCTGTTACTATTAGATGATTTCTTCTTTTTTTTCATTTTTAACCACACCAAATATAACAGCTATTTATTTGATTTACAAATCAAATTAGAATTGGTTACTTGTTTCTAAGTGGATTATTAAATAAATAATAATCTTTCATTTGTTCTTTTTTTGTTGGCTTTAATCATATGATTGTTCATTCGTTATTTCAAGAAGATAGAAACTTTAATCACAAAAATAGTTTTTACGATCTTGTTATTTTACGATCAAAATTGACAGATAATTGATTAGTATCAGAAGGGGTTTTGTGCAGATTGTAATAATTTCAATAATTGAGATCATGAGTCAGTTAAAGCTAGACCAACATGAGAAACCTGGAAGCACTGGATAGCCATTTCGTTCTAGTACCGAACTCCTCAACAGTGCGCATCTGCGATCCCGCTCCCCGGATTCGAACCCAGGATCTATCGGTCTCACGCGAGAACGCTTAACCTCTAGATCACTGAGCTGTCATCCAATGGTGTTAATTTCTAACTTCAACCAATCCACGAAATTGCGCCATCGTGCACCATTTTCTTCAGTGAGTTATTATCTCACAACAGACCTAATTGAACCCCACTGGTCACTGCTTCTCACTGGAATTCCAGTAAATACCTCTTGAAGCCAGTTAATAAATACTTTACAATTTAAGCTGATTGACCCAGGAAGTGTCTTCGTTATTTTTTACTCCCAAAAAATTTTAATGATATGATTGATACTATCTACACACTGAAGTAATACTTATGTTTTCCACCAAGAAATAGTAATCTTTGGAAAGAATACAATCTTGATTAATGTGTGATCAGTGTTTTTTTTAAGTAAAATACCTATTTACGGCACCATAATTGTACGACAGTTGATTGACAGACTACAGAAATATCTTAGTGTGGAACTTATCTTCGATCAACGAAGTCATATAAACCAGTATATAATACTGAACTAAGTTTATTTTTAAAAAATTTTCCAAAAACATGATCATAGTTGAAATCTTTTCAAAGTTCATCCCTTTCAAAAAAAAGAACACTTCATTAAAGTTCGTTTGATGAAATATAGTACTTAAATCTGTCTTTTCACTTTCAACTGTGTATTAGGATGCCATAGAAATTGAACTTGATATTCATGATAGTGATATAGATGAAGATCAACGGATAGCTCTATTTAGAAGAACAGTTCCACTTGAAACTAAAGGAAAACATGAATTTCGGATGGGTGTCGATGTTAAGTAAGTATGGGGCTTTATTTAGTTTTTAGTTTTGTGTCGATTCAATTTAAAGTAAATATTTGAGTTTTCATTTAATTTTTGGAAAACAAGTCTATATCTACAAGAGATTCACATACTAGTTATAATTGTCCACAAACCGAAAGACCATTATTACTCGATTAAGCACTTGTTTTAGAGATATCTACCATGTTTAATATGCTTTATGATGTATTGTGAAATGTTTTCAACGATGCAGACACAGATCCTCTGTGCTCTGGCACGTACATGTACACTGTTTTATGGTCGTCTTTTGACAGTACCGGACGTGATAAAGTTTTACTAGATATGAGAAGAAAAGGCTAGTGACAACTTTATTTTCCTTGGGTAGTGTGTGGTGGTCGATATTCAATATAATCCTTAAACTTCATATACAGTTCGTCCTGATACCCGTCACTAGATAATGCTCCAACGGTGTATTGATCGGAAGGCAAAATTGAAGTGTTGATTGCTTTTATTACTGTACCACGCACAGATAAGCAAAATTACAGGTACGTTAAGCAAGCATGAAAAAGTGCCGAAAAGCTAGCAGGTAAGAGAGTGAGCGTGAGTCAAACAAGCGAGTCAGTGAGTCAGCGAGTGAATGAACAGGATTAAAATGTACACATATATACATAGAGAAATGAATAAATCATTGAATCAATTAAACAACTTATAGTAAGGCTAGCAGAATGAATATATGCGTAGTCAGTAAGCAATCCTCAAGCCTACATATTCATACAAGTGTAACAATAATAAAGGTATTGTGCTGATGACTGCCGGTTAAATAAGTTAACAAAAGGGCTTAACCACATTAAATGTGAGCAAACTCAGTTGCATGTGAGCTGCTACGAATGGCATCACAGTTTCATTCACTTGTATATTAATAACACTTACTGATTATACAGTTACGTTGATTTATGAAGAGAGGAATCTCCGTTATAAAACTACACATTGACTTAAGAGAGTTCTGTCTAATGTGAACATGATAGAAGCAATCTTTATTTTAAACACCTGATACATGGATAATATCATAATATACTTTATACATAGCTAAATATGAGCTTATCATCAACACAGTAAGTAATGGATTATTGCCTGATGAATATCTTGAACAGAAATACATGTGAAAGCTGTTATAACTTGTGAACCTGTGCGCCTTGTTTATTGTATAACGCAACGACACCGCCATTCAGAGAGGAGTGGTTTATCAATCGAACCAGTGACCCCTAAGACACGTGCGAGCAACCTAGAATCCTAATTAGCCCTGCTGTCCGCCTAGCCCAGCCAGCTAAGTCCAGAACACCAATCTCAACCTCTGCAATATGAATCATTTTAATTCAAACATACTGAGTCAATATATCAATCAAACAGACCTCAACGTACCAATAAAATATGAAACAACATTTATAAAAGAATTAGCCAAATGTGGCTGTGAATGATGGAGATAGTAATTAATAGACAGGCCATAACTCAAGAATGGTAAATCGTATAATAATAGTCTATGGGTCAAATTAAAGCTTATAATAAGAGCGACATGAATATGAACAGTTTAGTTACATAACAATTATGCGATAAAAATATACTCATAGTATTGTTCCATAAATGTAACCCAAAAATCACCATTCATTATTCTTATCGTAATATGACAAAAGCATTCATAGAAATGAATAATATTATCAATTATATATACAGATTCCTAAAATAAACTAATCCGATTTCGTTTATTATTTTTGGAATTTAGGAAAATGTAACGTAACATCTCTCATTGAAGTCCTAATTTAGTATAATAAATTCATTAGACTATTAATGTTGTTTCATCTTAAAATATTGAAAGTTCATCTATCTATTTTCTAATACTTCCATTTCAATTATTGATATTATCAATCAATTGAAACTAGACCACCATGGAAAACCTGGAACCACTGGACGGTTGTTTTGTCCTACTGTAGGACACCTCAGTTTAAAAAAACTAGATATCATTTTTGTAAGCAATGATGGATAATGACTAGCAATGGAACCCAGGACGCGCGTTCCGTCCTATTCAGGACTCGTCAGCCAGACGTACCTGCATCTCAGAGTTGATGTTCACCCTGGGACTCGAAACCAGTACCATTCGCTTCAAACGCCATCGCGTTATCCACTCAGCTACTGAGTCCTGATAGCCACTTGCTTGTGCAATGTGGTGAATTTAAATTCACTTGGTATTGGTACTGCTAGCCACTATCCATCATTGCTTACAAATAGCTTGTGAATTAAGGTAATATCGAGGCATACGCACAGTATGCACATATACCAATAACAGACTGATCAATTGCAGTCTTAAACCTCAATGGGCAGATACAAGCCAAACAATACCATGTGAATTAAATATCATGTTTATAAAAACTTCTTTATATAAACTAAACCCTTGGTAAAGTCTCGCCAAATCACATTCATACTCATTCGCTTGCCTTCTAGCTTTTCGGCACTTTTTCATGCTTGCTTAACGTACCTGTAATTTTGGTTATCTGTGTGTGGTCCACTAAAAATTCATTAAATCAATCAATCAATCAGACAAAATGTACCTCACATTATTATTGACACTGTTTAGATTGAAATTAACTAGTTCAATATTCAACAAAAAAACGTTTTGTTTATAACGTAATGTATTATATAATCAAACGAACCATAAGTATTACATATATACCTAATAAGCTTGACAATTGATATTCATCTGTTATGATGATATTTTCTATATGAAATCATATGGAACAAATTATTAAGTTATCCCAATTTGATTGATCATAATGTAGATTAAGAAACATTATGAACTGATTGAAGTTAATAATGTAAATTATTGAATGCACTTATCTCAAGATCTGAAGTTTGTGAATTCGATCTCCTATCAGATGTTGGATGCACACCCTTCTAAGGGGTCTCATACTTGGATGAAACAGTTATTTAGTCCTTTTTATTTATCTAAATGAAATCATTCAGTGATGTAAGCTATGAAATTCAACAATCTCTTTACATACTTCCAACAGTAATTAAAGACTAGGTTTAATAAGGTATTTAATGTTATAACTTGTGGTATGTGCGCCTTGTTAATGTATAATGTAACGATACTGCCAATTAGAGAACAGAGAATAATCGATCGGACCAGTGACGCATAAAACACGTGAGAGCAGTCTAGAGTACATATCGGTCCTGCATCCTGCATAGCCCAGCCAGTTAATTCCAGAACACCAATCTCAACCTCTGCAATATGAATCATTTATTTCAAGCATACTGGGTTTATATATCAACCAGACAGACTACACTATACCATAAAATAGGAAACAACATTTGTACAAGATTTGACCAAAAGTGGCTGTGAATGTGAAAAGTAGTAATTAATAAACAGGGCATAATTCAAGAATGGTAAGTCGTATAATAATAGCTCATAGGTCAAAATAAAGCTTATAATAAGAGGGGCATGAATATGTATAGCATAGATATTTAACAATTATGCGATAAAAATATACGTATAGTATTTGTCCATAAATGGATCTCAAAAGTTACAATTCATTATCCTTATCGGGACATAACAGTTAAGAAAACAATAATGGTACTAGACAATATAGTAATAGTAGGAACCAAATAGTGTAAAATTCAATGAAATGGTTTATAGGAACTGGAATGATAATATGAATATTGCATTCATGAAAGACTAACAATACTTAGAAAGTGATTATCTTATCCTTGTCAAAGATCTAAACCTGTGAGTGTTATCTAATCGATACTCGAATTTACACAAAATCTATGATTTAAACATTTGATTGGAGTCCAAAGTCTTTTTTAATCAAATCAAGAAGTATGACAGACAGAACCCGTCAGTAGCGGATAGATGTTTCCTGTAATATGAAGACCTACTGGACTCATTAGCAACGATCTCTAACCACAGAACATTCGGTTATAATGCGCAGAATATCAAGCCAGTTAGATTGTTCTCAGTCTACATTGTGATTCGCTCGATGGAATTCGATCAACACATCGAAGTAGACAAACACAATATTGGTTACTAGTAGATGGTCAGTTAGTACAATGTTGAGTATCATATTTTTTAAATAGAGCAAAAGAACCAATTGCATGAAATATCATATTTTTAATGTTCAAGGTCTCATCAAGATGAATATTTTTAACCTATCTCTAAGAAACTGAAGTATATATGACACAATGCGTGGTATGAATTAGTTTCCGGTGGTTGACAGCATAATCTACATTCAACCATCTCATAACTTGTTTCTAGATGTAACCCTTGAAATCAAGATTACAGAATATTTACTTATCCTATAAAATTACCCATTTGGATTGCTATGTAATTAGTCTTCAGCTGGTCAGAATCTCAGTTCGATAAATTAAAGGCAAGCAATTATAAAAATTACCTGGCTTTTCCCATAAATTCTTAAAACCATCAATCCAAAATACAAGTCTCTTTCCTTACATTTAAATTGATTTGAAACAGAGAGTTTTTTCCCTAAGTTTATTCTCTGAAGAAGTACCATACATTGAACGAAGTGAAGCGTCAAAGAATTTAAAAATCTAATTTTTCTATTCATTGGAATCTGTGGTGGTTCCTAGCAAAAGGAGTTTATACACTAGGTTAATAATAATATACCAAGAGAGTTAACAGTAAAAACCCTAGGTGTCTGTCTGCGAGTAAAACCAAGGGTAACAAAATGCAGCTAGTATACAAATGGTATATTAAACAAACAGATAATAACAGTTATTATGGAATGAATGTTACTTTTAAGCTGCCCCGTGAGATAACAACCACAAAGGAGTTCACTTGATTGACGAAGATTCCTCTGCAAGTGATTGTACCAACGGCGTGATGAGAAAGACAAAGTCCGATAGTATTATATTATAATAATCCGTGCCAAAAGTTCAACGTAGCGTCGGAAGGCCTAAAAGGATGTTATAACACTATAATATAGTCTTCAATTAAAGACCGTGGTCAATAAAGCAGAAGAACAGACGGCGTAGGTAGCGTTTTATATTTCAAACAACGCGGTAGTCAGTTCGTATCGTATATTCATTATCAAAACAATTATCATCATTTTTAAACAAGTGATACAGAAAAACAACAGATATTTAATAAAAATGTGGTTACATATAAAGTGTGACAAATTAGAGAGAAAATGCGGCTTTTATTGTCTTTACGAAAATCACTGAATATACGTCAGCATAGATCTTACAAAGATATCGTTTTGATCAAGAGAATTATTTTGTATCTGATGTACATTTGATGTTATATAGAGGAAACATTGGGGCTGCAGGGAAGCTTCTCTTTAATGCTACATTAACCCTTCATCTGTTCTCATCCATTTTGCATTCAAATGTGAAGAGATTTTAGACAGGATCATAGAAGGATTAAAACAGCTCTAAATAGAAGCTTAGCAGTAGCTCAAATATTTGTGGTATACGACATCAGATGTTTCTTAAATCAGTCCAAGTGGACCAATATCCTTCTAAAGTTATCTCCAAATGTACTTACAAATTCACATGTACATGTGGAAGCACCTTTATAGAAAAGACTGAAAGAAGGGCATCTACAAAGATTTCTATTGTTCCCTTATTTCAAAAAAATATTTTGTTGAATTATTTCTTTAGAGTTGAAGCCCATATTGAGATCACTTGTACCAAAGATTATTATGGACAGCGTTGTGAGGTATATTGTACACCTCTATATGGTTTATGGGAATGTGACGAGAATACCGGTGCTAGAATATGCAGTAAACCGTGTTTACATGGCAAATGTGTTCTCACAAGGTAAATCATGTCATTTTTTTGCTCTAAATGAAAACTAAAATAATATACACTTTTCAACATAATCGATGACATCATTCCCATCATTATCCATTGATTAGTTTATATGCTTGACATGTCTTTATAGAGAGAATATATTATTCAGTATGTGTTCTACCCAAGTTATTTATCTGCCAATAAATCAAATGTATTTATGTCATATTTGAAAATATTTAATCAAGAAAGAGAACTAGTTTAGACTTGAAATCACCAAACAGTTATCGATTTTATTCAACTGGCGCCAAATATTCGACATGAAAACTGACACCAATCTCATCTTATAAATGAATATTGCAAACAATCGATAATATCGGTTATTAATATGGAGAGAAATTGTGTTTTTATTCTTGTCAGATTTTAGTTCCCTTAATCATTTTGAAGAGAGCAAGAGTAAAAATACTAGTAGAATAATATGACTTCATTTTATTTCATATGGATCTCGTTAGCTTCTTGCAACCTGTAATATTGAGTAATCATAATTATAAAAATGGGTTCAAATTATTTACATGAAAGAGTTAAATTGAAATTTGTGTAGTATAGAAGTGGCTTATATGATAAAATTACTTGTTGTTGATGTTCCGACTTGATCAACTATCAGGTTGCTTTCAATACTGTCATCTTCTGTGCTGAACTCTTCGATTTCATTTCTCAATCTTATACAATTAAACTATGTTTAAGAAGCCAACTATTAACGAGGGTTTAATGGATTAGCTTCGAAATAGTAACTTAGACATTGCATATCACTTGCATTGTTAATCGTTATTAAATAAATCTCAATGATGTATGAAATCAGAGAGAAAGATGAAGCACCGACTACCTCTTCTTTTTCTTCTTCCGCCTGTTACTCCCGATGGAGCATATACCGCAGACCAGAATTCTCCAACCCACTCTGTCCTGGGCCTTCTTTTCTAGTTCCATCCAATTCTTGTTCATTTTTCTCATGTCTATCTCCATTTCTCGGCGTAATGTGTTCTTTGGTCTTCCTCTTTTCCTTTGACCTTCAGGATTCCATGTGAGGGCTTGTCTTGTGACGCAGTTGGGTGCTTTCCTCAATGTGTGTCCTATCCACTTCCAGCGCTTCTTCCTGATTTCTTCCTCCACTGGGATCTGGTTTGTTCTCTCCCACAGTGCGTTGTTGCTAATAGTGTCCGGCCAATGGATCTGAAGTATTTTGCGTAGACAATTGTTGATAAACACCTGTATTTTCTGGATGATGGCTTTTGTAGTTCTCCAGGTTTCTGCCCCATACAGTAGAACTGTCTTGACATTTGTATTGAAAATCCTGACCTTGGTGTTGGTTGACAGTTGCTTTGAGTTCCAGATGTTCTTCAGTTGTAAATATGCTGCTCTTGCTTTGCCGATCCGCGCCCTCACATCTGCATCAGATCCACCCTGTTCATCAATGATGCTGCCCAAATACGTAAAGGTATTTACAACTTCCAAATCTTCTCCGTCAATTGTGATTGGATTGGTGCATTCTGTGTTGTATCGGAGAATCCTGCTTTTCCCTTTGTGTATATTGAGACCTACTGCTGTTGAGGCTGCTGCCACACTGTTCGTCTTCTCCTGCATCTGTTGTTGCGTTTGGGATAGAAGGGCCAGATCGTCTGCGAAGTCTAGATCATCCAACTGCATCTTAGATGTCCATTGTATCCCGCGCTTCCCTTCAGACGTTGACGTCTTCATGATCCAGTCGATCACCAGGAGAAAGAGGAAGGGTGAGAGTAAGCAACCTTGCCTAACACCGGTCTTCACTTCGGACGACTTTGTCAACTGTCCTCCATGCACAATTTTGCAGATCAGTAAGCCACAAGTAGACCAAACGAACTCGTACAGAAGAGCTAACGCGAGAGAGCGAATACAGAGGTGAATTAAGAGTCAAATCAATTATTAAGATTCAAGCATATATATAGTCTAATCACTTAATAACTGTAAAACAAAAATATATATAATAATAATAATTCATAAGTAACTCCGTGAAGTCACCATCCAGGTGGAGTTTTGTTCTTTGAGCTGGATGGTTTGGTCGTGGAACGTTCATCGTTCTTTTAAACAAAGTCATCAGCAAAACCTTCAGGAAGAAGTGAAGTGTTTGAATTTCTCTACATATTAATCAAATATTGTCCAGTGTACTTCCATCTTGATTGGCTATTGTCGATCACTAACTTGTCATTATTTACTTCTTTATTCTTATTATATCTCCCGTTGATTTGAATTAACAACGACTTCGGTGACATAAAATTCATAGTGGAAAATGATTCAAAGAAAAAACTGTAATTTTTGGATGTAATAATCACCAGAACCAACACAGGAAAACTGGAAACTCAAGTATATCGGAAGTCGACCTACACAGATCGAGTTCTCAACTACGGTAGCAACAACCCAGGAACTAACAAAATCAACTGCGTACAAGCTTTATTCACGGGGCAAGAACACACAGCAACACGCAACGTGGAAAACAGATGAAAAATATCTAAAGACCATCCTTCAAAGAAGGGATACCCAATGGACTCATCAAAAATATACCAATCCAATGCGTCAGTAGAAACAACACGATGTACAGAAACTAACAAACGGATCATCCTACCTGTTATATCCTTGTTTTTTTCCAACTCCCTGTCGCCAATTGTTATGTTCTTAGCTTATAAGATCACCGCGAATACGATTGGCAAATTTAGATATATAGACTTATATGACCAACGAATGATGCATACGTCTGAACGAACAGCTTGGAGTCACGATTGGTCCTTTTCCCGCTGGCCCATTAAGTTCAAAAGATAAATCTCGGCGTCCGTGATATTAATCATGTATTTCAAACATACTGGGTTTATATACAAACCAAACAGACCACATCGCACCACAAAATTAAAAACAACTTTTGTGAATGTGGGGGACTGTGATTACTAGACTGAACATCTTATAATAATAATCTATAGGTTAAAATAAAGCTAATAATAAGAGGAATATGAATATATGTAATCTAATTACGTAATAGTTATACAGTAAGAATATACTTATAATATTAGCCCATAACTAGTTCCCAACAGTTACCTTTCATTATTCTCATCGGGATATAACACTACCATATATAAGAAAGGCTGGAAATTACAACTAGATTATTGAAGCTTTTTGGAATAGGTGTAGAAAAAATCAAACAAAAAATCCCTCCAATCAATCCAATCCAAACTAAAGAAGGAAATGACAAAAGAAGAAAAACCGAACATCATTTACAAAATAAATTGTTCCAACTGCAAAAAACACTACATTGAACAAAATAGACGATCGCTTCACCTTCTATTGTACGTACATCAATTAAAAATCAAACGCCTGGAAGTCATTATTCATTTAGTCTTCTACGGATATAACATAAGTCAATTTAAACATAACTAATTGTAAAATAGACAAGTTGTCATTTACAAAAATTAAAACCCATCTATTCGACTTAGTTCTTAACCTTCAAAACAGTTGTACGTAAAAAAAAATGTTGGACACTCGTAAACAAAGATAGAAATATTCACTTGGTATTGTTTTACTTGAATCTTCCTATTGATGTTTAAGACTGCAATTGATCAGTCTCTTATTGGCATATGTGCATACTATGCGTATTGCCTCGATACTGCCTTAATTCACAAGTATTATAAACAAAGCTGGATAGTATCTAACAGTGGAATCCAGGACGCGCATTTCGTCCTATTTGGGACTCGTCATCTGGATGTATCTGCACCTCAGAATTGATGTTCACTCTGAGACTTGAACTACTACTCACTATCCATCTTTGCTTATAAAGATATTAATTACTTACTTATTTACTGTTGTGGATGCGGAGGAATAGACCAATAATTATCATGCTAAGTCCAATGGTGTCCTTGGACTTTAAATGGATATTTCCTATTGGTCGATATCTGTTCACTTGTTGAATATTGTACAAAATGTTGTTTTCTATTTTATGGTACGATGTGGTATGCTTGATTGGTATATAAACAAAGTATGTTTGAAATATAATGATTCATATCTCAGAAGCTGTGGCTTGTGTTGTGGACTCAACTGGCTGGGCTGGACAGGGAAGCAGGACCAATCAGAACTGTAGGCCATCCGTTCGTGTTTACGCGTCACTGTAGTCGATCGATAAGTACGCTGCTCTCTTCAGTCGAGGACACAACAATTAGCACAGGGTAAAAATCGACCTCAACATAAAGCCATAACATTTACTCACACCTGTTACTCGTCGTGGAGCATTATAGGCCACCCATTAGTACTCTCCATTCATTCGTGTCCTAGGCAATCCCTTCATAATTTTTTAACATTTATCTGAATTCATCTAATTCAATAAATAGTTAGAATCATTATCAAAAAATAATCTTTTCTTTTAATTATTTCTCTTATAATTTTATCAAGTATCAGTGCAATATGTGAATGTACATTAAATTGGCATGGAGAATTTTGTCAAACTCCTATTGAATCTAAACTTATATCAACTATTTTAGCTCCTGATATAAAAACAATTCATATTGCTAAACCATTACAAATTAATCAATCAATTAGAAATCAAACTAGATATATTCATTTAAATAATAAAATTAATAAATTATCCATGATGACAACAACAGCAACACCACCAGCAACAGCAACACCACCACCAGCAGCAGCAACAACAACAACAACATTTCAATCTAATTCCATAAATAAAATAAAACAAATGGAGACGGGAAAGTATAATGGAACAGTTCAAGTTGTTCAATTAAAATTTGATAATGAACACCTTAATATTGATCAATTTAATAATGATACTTTGTTTACTTTAACAACAAGAAATACTCAAATAAATTTAGATCAATCCAAAGTATCGGCGATTGATAACAATTCAGAAACAATGAAACAATCTGATGGTAACATGAATCATCTATCTGGTAAGAAAGTTTTTTTATATTCAATTTAGTTATTTGATATTCAGTAAATGGAATACACCCATTAAGAACGATAGGTTCAACAAAGAGCTCTTTTTTCGGTGAATTCATTTTCAAAGCTGCACAATCAGAAATATATGCACTTATCCTTTTTCAGGATGATAACAATTACAATAATTTTTCCTAAGTAATGATGGGTAGTGGCTAGCAAAGGAAACCAGGACGCGTGTTTCGTCCTATTTGGGACTCGTCAGTTGGATGTACCTGCATCTCAACTTTAATATTCACTCTGGGACTCGAAACCAGTACCATTCGCTTCAAACGCCATCGCGTTATCCACTCAGCTACTGAGTCCTGATAGCCACTTGCTTGTGCAATGTGGTGAATTTAAATTCACTTGGTATTGTTTGGCTTGTATCTTCCCATTGAGGTTTAAGACTACAATTGATCAGTCTCTTATTGGCAATAATGTTGATAATAAACTTCTGTTAGACATGGTGACAGTGAGGAAGAATAAACAAAGGTATTAAAAAAACATTTTTTAAACAGTGAAACTAATAATCGTTTGATTGTTAAAGGTTTAAATATTCATCACAAAGATAGATAGATAGGGAAATTATCATTGGGAAAGGATAGCTCAGCATGATAAGATAAAATGTTGAAATTGAGATGAAATGTAATCAGGAGGATCGTAAAAAAAGAAATAAACCAGTTGGGTATAGGAAGTTTAGGGAGAAGATAGAAGAGGAAGCAAATGACTGTAAAGAGAGAAGGGTATGAAAAAAAATTATAAGACATTAAGTCTATGGTAGAAGAAGAGGTTGTACCAATCTCTTTTATGGATACACAATTCTAGTTTTCCCAGATGTATGGCTATTGCTTTGTGTTGTAACGGGTGGATTGCAGGTTAGATGCGCAGCATTTTATTGATCGATTCACTGACACGTAAACACGTACGGACGACCTGGAGTCCCGATTGGCCATGCTTCGCTGCCTAACCCAGCCAGTTGAGTCCAGAACACAAGTCACAGCCTCTGAGATATGAATCATTATATTTCAAACATACTCTGTTTATATACTAATCAAGCAGACCACATCGTACCATAAAATAGAAAATAACATTGTACAATATTGACCAGCAGGAAAATGACACGTGAAATAAACATTGACCAATGAGGAAATGACACCATCTCAAGTCCAAGGATAGCGTTAGACTTAACAGAATAATTTTTGGGATATTTTCCTGAATATCCCAACACTTTGGCAATGCAAAGAAGATGCAGTAAAATAGTTTTGGAAGACTTCTACCCTCCTTTTAGATGACTTTGAACGTAGGGACTGTCTTGATTAACTGGCCTGTGTTCACAATGTTTTCGACTATTGAACTTCATATTGAGCAGTTTCCTCCTCTTCTTAGCCACGTCGGATAATGTTTTTGAATTCTTTTGGATAAAGTACGCATCAAACGACTTATATAACTGGCTCTACATGAGCAGGTACTTTTGTTTATTTTACCTCATTGTCACCATATCTAACAGAAGTTTGTTATCAGTATTATTGTATTTATTGTCATCCTGAGAAATAAGTTTATATATTTGCGATTGTACAGCTTTGATAATGAATTCGCCGAAAAGAGAACTCTTATTATTTTGAGAAGTTAAACATTAATTTTGGATTAATAGTAGTTTAAATCATAATTTGAAAAATGTGATATATTCCGACGACAATAATGAATGGTAACTGTCGGTATCCATTACAGAACATCGTAGTAAAATCTGGGAACCATACAATGAATACTTAATTTGCAAAATGTTAATCAATTGTCTTAAACTTGACTGTTCCTTTTGCAAATATCAGTCAATCGTCTTAGACTTTAATGTTTTGGCATTTCCATAATAATTTTTTTGTGTTCTCATTCTCTTTTCTTCGGGCTTCTTAACCTTCTGCTGCCATACATTCTATTCCAGACCAGAGTTATATACTACTTATGTAGATATAAGTAGTACACACGACAATACGATTTACAGTTGTTGAGTTATGCTCAGTCTATCAATTACTATCTCCCACATTCATAGCCACTTTTGATTAAATCTTGTACAAATGTAATTTTCTATTTTGCGTACAATGTAGTATGTTGGATTTGTATATGAACCCCAGTATGTCTGAAATACATGGTTCATATCACGGAGGCTGAGATTGGTGTTCTGGAATCAGCATTCTGGGCTAGTCAGAAAGAAGGCCCGATAAGAATTCTATACTGCTCGTACGGGTTTATGTGTCTTTGGTCCGGTCGATAAATCACTGTTCTCTAATTGGCGGTATTCTTGTTATAAATTAAATGGAAACAAGGCCACAAGTTATAACACATTGAAACAATCTATTATTCCACTAATTCTCACACTTGAGAAGATGGATTTAAATAATATAGCCTATGTGATATTCTATTATTTTTTGTATTGGGTAATTTACCGTTGAGGTTTTATATATATTGTCTTTCTATGTATTGCTTTCGTACAATGACTTTGATGTTTACTTTAAATAGTAATGAACATCAAAGAAATACTTTGTTTTGTTTTGAAAATTTAAATCATTTCATTTGGATTGCCTCGTGATTAGTTGGTTGACGCCAGTGAAATTTTTTTGATTTTATATATACTTTCATTCCAGGTAACCATTATAGTAGACTGACTCTTAAGCATGTCTTAGATTAATGATATTCTCATTGTTTGACTTGGTGAACATGTATAAATCTTTCTACTGATTTCATATTGACCTAAGTACCAAGTCTATAGAAATTCCCTTTATCTCTGATTATGATATTTTACCAATAGAATTATATCTATACTTGTTCAAGTGCGGTGATAAAAATGATGAATTTTTTATCCTTGTTTCCAAATTCAGTATTTTCCTAATGGAGATTGAAATTCTAGTTTGATAGCGTGATAATTACACTACAACCTATGACTGCTATAGATGGATGTCACACCATGACAAAAACTCCCTTCCAAATGAATAAATATTCTGAGGTGTTAAGTATGTGGTAGTAGTCATCATAAGAACCTTCTCGACCTAGGCTTCTTATCTGTCGGATTTCTCAATCAAGAGTTACCTATAATCCTGGGAAAACTGATGCTCCATGTGAGATTCAAATACACATCACTGTACATCATATTATTAAGTATTATCACTAAGCTATTTGATCGGCGATTGGTTTCTTATGTGAATGATAAGATATTTACAATTGATTGACTATCAAGCAGCCATCAAAAAGTTTCTATCGGTCCGACACTGAAAGACTAAGCAAATATGAAATTGGTGGCTACTCAGTGATGAAACCCCTTACTTTGTTAACAGAATATGTAAGCTGGTAATATAAGACTTACAATAATATATTATATCTTATTAGACAATAAATATACCATAAATAATAAGTTTCTCTTTTAATATTACTAAGTTTTAATGGAATGCAAATGTATAATAGAATTCTACTATGAGTTTGGAATCGACTTGTATTAGTTTATTTTAGTTAAAATTCATATAAATTATCGGAAAAGATTTTTGTGGAAATTATAGTGTGGTGCGTCCTACTTATATTGATATAAGTAGTATATGACGCGAATCAGGAATGTAATGTCTGGCAGCAGAAGATGGGCGGATCAAAAAAGAAAGAGCGATAATAGAAAGCAATTAGTATGGAAATGCAAGAACAACGAAGTTTTAGACAGTTGTTGAACATTTTGCAAATTAAGTATTATAGTATGGTTTTTTTCTATTTTACCAAGTAACTCTGTAATTTTGTGCTAAATATAATTCCATTGTCCCCACTGGTGTTCTGTTCACCACAATAGTGATTTAATTGTTGAATTTATGAGTCAATTAATGCTAGATCATCATGAAAAACCTGGAAACATTGGACGGCCGTTTCGTCCTAGTATGAGTCTGTTGTGAGATAGTAACTCATTAAAGACAATGATGAACTGTAGCTCAATTTCGTGGATTAATTAAACTTATAAATTAACACTGTTGGATGTTGACTCAATGATCTATAGGTTAAGTGTTCGCGTGCAAGGCCGAAATTCCTGCATTCGAGAAGTCCCCTACTAGAATGAAACAATCATCCAGTAATTCCAGGTTTTTCAAGATGATCTAGTTTTTTAATTGATTCATGAATTCAAATATTAAACTTCATAAACGTTTATAAAATGAGAAGAATGACAGTTAAAATCATAGAAAATTTTAATGTTTTAATCATAGACTAAACAAATAGTTTTGACAACTAACTTATCAACAACAAAGAAAAAACCATGAAAAACTCGGGGGGGGAGATAAAAAAAATTTTCTACTATTTTAAACGAACTAACCTACAAACATTGATTGTTCACAAATGAACCAATTCGAAAATGTTATTGTTTTATTCAATGATATTTGAATTGATTTTGATAGGATTATCAAAATGTCCAAATGACAGGAAATGATGGGTTCTTGTTCTTGCTTTTTCTTTTCTTCTTCTTTAAATACCTCATAGCAATGAAAATCTTATCTATATGTGTATGTTATTGTGTATATTATTCTTGTTTCTATTAGTCTCTTTAATACATATTTACTATGGAGATAATTGAAAGTACTAACACACTCACCACCTACGGTTACATTCGATATAAAATTAAATATTGGGTATTTTTATTTAAATAGTAAAACTTTATCTCGGAAATTAATTTTAGGAGAGGAGGAAAAGGTAATTCTTGATGAGGGACAATGCATAGAGATAAGGAAATTAGACTGAAAGTGTAGTTTTGACAACAACAAAAACAGGCACTGTTTATTGATCGTTGAATGATAGTTTAATTTTTGGCTAGCGTTATTAATTGTATCATTTTTCATAACTCTCCATCTTTCCATGTGTAATCTATAAAAGTAGTCAGTAAAATGAAATATATCTATATTTGTTGTCATAACGTATTACAAAATACCTTGTTTTTGCTGAATTTATATCAATCTTTATT